AAAAAAAAAAAATTAAAAAATAAAAATAAGTATACCTTTTTTGTACCAAGTAGGTTTATTTATTTCACTTTCTCTGGCCAAATATTATTCGCCATTATGACAGATATTAAAGATTTATTTTAATCGACTTTGACAATGCTATCTTTTCCCCTGCTGATGAGCCTTTAGAAGAATTTTTTAAAAGTGATCATGCTTCTGAAATGCTAATTAAAAAGCATAATTTTAAGGTTATATATGGGGCGTTGGAAATTTAGTTAATTTGTGTAATATCATAGGCATTTCTCATGAACTTTTAAACTTCAGCATAGATTTGTGTAATAGTATTCCAGATAATCGACCAACTGCTTCAGTTGTTCTTGATCAGGCAAAAGATATATTTAAAGAGGTAATTATTTATAGCCGATTAATATATATTTGTTTTTTTTGTTTGTTTGCAATAATCTTAACAAAGTTTAAAATTTTAGTAGTTTCCAAATAATAATTGGCTAGAAAGGATCGAAACTGCATAATGTATTTGGGCCAACTTAAATCTGTAGTAAAATTATTGAACTTTATTAACTAAGCAGGGTTAGAAAAATAAAATTAGCATATTAATAATAGAATAATTATTTTACTAGGTGTCTTGAGTTCTTATTGTGAATATACCGGTATTATATTTTTTGTGTTCAAAAAAAATAAAGTCTGTACATATTTTGGACTTTATTTTTAACATATGCCTACACGTATATGGTATGAAGTATTTATGGGTCGAATTTTACTTATATAATCCTGTAATTGCTTTTACTTTTGCATGTGTGTTTGAAGTTTTATTGCATTGGTGAATATAATTGCTTTGCTTTTGCATGTGTATTTCAGAATTTATTTCAATGTTTTGATATTGGTGCTATATATAATCAAAAGTTTTTCTGGTAAAAAATAAAATGCTATTGTAAAAATTTTTTTATATTTTCTAGATAAGAATATTTTATATATTTATCCTGTATTTTATTATAATAAAGATGGCTGAATTTGCATACATAATCACGTTTACTTTTGCATGTGTATTTTGTGAATTTATTTTATTGTATTATTATTGAAGCATATGATTGAGAAATTTTAAAAATTTTTCTTGGAAAAGTACGTGAATTTTTTTCACAGAGTCATGTGATTTTATCAGACTCGAACTTTTGAATATATCCATATCTTGTATAAAACAATGGAAGATGCTCAATCCACAATTGATTTGTTGAGAGAATTGAATACCAAGTTCATTCTTCAAATTGATGAACTTAGAAAAGAGAATGCTAATATCAAGGCTGAAAATATAAAATTAAAACAAGATAAAGCAGAAATCGAAGCTAGATTTGTAAAATTAGAGCAGAATAATAAAGATACTGCTACTGAAAATGCTAAACTTAAAGCTAGAGTTGCGAAATTAGAACAAAAGCAATTACAAAACAATGAAGAAAAAAATAACCATATAGCTAAAGAAATCAGGCCCAAAGGGGTGATTCTAAATAATCACCAATCTTCAGTTAATATTACTTCTACCGAAATAATAAATTCTAGCCATTCTAATGAACCCAATAATGCTTCGGTATCTGATATATCTGTTAATGCTTCAGTACAAATATGCAGGCTTATGCCAAATTCTGATGATACTCCTAGACAGATAGAAAATAGTGCCAATATATACCAGAATATGGTTAGCCAATGCCCTACATCCCATAACTACCCTGAAATAAATCATGATAATACTTCCACAAAAGGTGAGTTATCTACAACCTCTTTGCTACAAGATATTATCAATGATAATTCAGCCAAGACCTTTGATTTTGTAGAAATGAAACATAAAGAATATGTTAGTGAAGAGATAATGAAGAGAATTAGGGAAAAGAAACAAAACTTATCTTTGGATAATAATTTACCAGAACCATCCAATTTATCATACAAAGATCAAAATTTGAAATCGTCAACAATATCGCAATCTATCTCTAGCCACTCTGTGACTACCTTTGGTAATAGCTTTGATTTATTAGAACAACTTCCTATAAAGCAAAAAAATAAAATGCTTGAAATAGATATAAAACCTTTAATACAAGAAC